TGTGTGTGTGTGTGTGTGTGTGTGTGTGTGTGTGTGTGTGTGTGTGTGTAAAGGAGATTAGTTAAAATGATTTACAAGCTGTGGTCTAGCTAATAAAATAATGACACGCTATGAAGAGAAAGTCTGAGAACCCAGTAGTTGCTCAGCCTACGAGGCTGGGTGTCTCAGCTGCTTTTCAGTGTACACTGCATATAGAAGAAGACTACTCCGATGCCAGTAAACAAATGTACTAGTTAGCAAGGTGACAGCAAGCAGGAAAAAAGCAAAAGCTTCCTTCTTTCATGTTCCTTACATAGGTTTCCAGAAGTCATGGCCCAGATTAGCTCTAGATTAAAGGTGTCTTCCCCCCTCAAGAGCCAGATTTGAAGTGGATTTTCCTACTTGAAATTAAGCAAAAATCCCTTACATGTGTGCCCTCCATTTTGGGGTTTTAGTTCCAGACATAGTCAAATTGACAACCAAGAATAGTCAGCACACATTGTGAGCTGCCATGTGGGTGCTGGGATTGAACCTGGCCTCTCTGCAAGAGCAGCTCTTAACTGCTGAGCCATCTGGCCAGCCTCTCAACCACAATTGTTTACTTCCAAATAGACCTAGCATTTCTAGGCAAAGAACAGAGGAGCTCCCCAAGGCTCAAAAAACTAATTTTTATTGGGAAAACTGCACAAACAACCTACCCCACCTTCAGGATTAGGGAAGAGGGCCAGGGATCTGCTCCCTCCTCCCCTATGTACAATTTCTCAGAACCTGTCCTGAGGAGGGGCCCACCTGCAGGAGCCCCCTCTTGTCTTCGGACACAGCATTTGTCTGTGAAATGGGCTCCCCAGCTCACCAGCACTGCAGATGTCCGATTCAGGGTGAGGGAGCTGGAAGACTGATCAAGGTTGGCCTTGGGGTGATCCAGTGCCTCCTCTGCCACCCCAGAGGCTACGTGGCCTCAGGCCCTGGGGACAGGAGGCCACCCCCAAAGGCTGTCTCTCGGTACTGGTTGGGGAACATGTTGCTGCCCACAAGGCTGGCCGTGCCAACATCCCCAGGGCCTGGGGCTGCAAAGGAGTCCAGCATCAGGGGTTCCGAGACAGAAGACTCTACGACCGTGGCCCCTGAACCCCCGCTACCCACCACAGCGCTTGCAAGTGGTGGCGCTGGGGGCAGCAGATCCAACATGGTGAAGAGTGTGGGGGCAGAAGGGTCGTATGCAAAGCCATCCTCCAGGAGGTCAGGGCCGCCAGGAGGCTCCAACCCAGGAAGGGATATGGTACCAGGGAAGAAGTCAGTGTCTGCCGGCTGCAGAGCTGATGGTGGGAGGAACAGGCCTAGTGAGGAAAAAAGAAGGGCTGGGATTAGAGCCACCTCTGGCTAGGCAGGGACTAACGTGGACTGCAGCGTGTTCTAGCTCAGGCCCTTAACCCTAACCTGAGTAGGAAGGAAGTACCACCAATCTCTTTAGTGTGTGCACATGATATATGTGAGTGGGCATCCCTCCCACCAGAGTGCATGGGAGGAGGTCAGAGTTCAACTTTGTGGAATCATTTCTTGCTCCTGTTTCCTTTATATGGAGCTAGACAGGTCCAAGCTTACATGCAAGTGCCTGTGTCCACTCAGCCATCACACTAGACCATATTTTTTAAATGTGTATGAGTATTTGCCTTTGTGTATAATGGATATATACACATGTGAGTTTACCCAGGCCCTGTGTTTAAGGGTAGGGAGCTGATGGGATGGCTCAGTGGTTAAGAACACTTGCTGCTCTTGCAAAGGACCAAGGTTGGGTTTCCAGTTCCCATTTCTAGCAACTGAAATCCACCTGTAACTTCAGCTCCTGGGGATCTGACTCCCTCTTCTGGCCTCTACAGGCAACTGCATACTTGTGGCACACACTCACACAGACCTGTGTGCACATACATGTAAGGAAGAGAAAAGAAAGGCAGGGTCTCAGGCCGTCCAGACCACTCACTGGTTAAAGGCGCGTACTGCCATCCCTGAGGACTGATGCAAGCTCAGACCTGGAACCCATGTGGCAAAAGAAGAAAACTGAGGCTGGGCATAGTGATGCACGCACGCAATCTCAGCACTCAGGATGGCAGAGGCTGGCAGGTTTCTGTGAGTTCAAGGCCACAAAGTGAGCCCAGGACTGCCAAAGCTACACAGAGAAACTATCTCAAAAAAAAAAAAAAAAAAAGAAAAAAAAGAAAAGAAAAAGAAAACTGACTCCTGTGAGTTGTTCTCTGATCTCCACATGCAACCTGTATGTAGCATGTATGCACCCACACACATGCAAAATAAATAAATACATATAAGAAAGAGAGAGAGAAGACCCTTAAAAACCAAGACAACAGTCTCTTGTAGCCCAGGCTAACCTCAAATGTGCTAAATAGCCTAAGGTGACTTTGAACTCCAGATTCACTTGCCTCCACCTTTCAAGCAATAGCACATCTGATTTATTTACATGGTGCCGTGGATCAAACCCAAGCTTTGCACAGTGGGTTGCCTCTCCCAACAGAGCGATAGCCCCCAGCTCCATCATTCTCCTGTATAAACCCAGGTCAGGAGTGAGATAACAGCCAGTTGTAGCTGTCTCCAGAAGCAGAGCAGGAGCCGGTCTTCTGCAGGGAGGGAGCAGGACTGGGGATCTGGCCGTGGCAGGCTGGGTATGGGGGCCAGAGAGACAGAGAGAGAGACTCCCTTGCAGGCACTGTGGAGTCACAGTTCTTCTGCCTCAGCCTCCCGATTGCTAGCTACCGCGCCTGCCCTCCTGTAGTTAATGTCATCACATCCTAGCCAGCATCAGCTGTCAACATGACACAACCTAGAGTCATCTGAGAAGGGACTGAGGGCCTGCCCAGACTGTAGGGAGGTGTTTTGATTGTTAATTGATACAGGAAGGCCCAGCACACTGTGAGGAACAACATTCTCTGGGCAGGTGGTCCTGGGCTGGATAAAAAAGCTAGCAAAGCATGGGTCTAGCAGTGAGCGAGCCTTCCAGTGATCCTCCATGGTTTCTGCTTCAGGTTGCTGCCTGGATTTCCCTCAGTGAAGGACTGTGACCTGAAGTTGAAACAAACGATTCCCTCCTCCCCTAAGGCCCTGCCATATGATCTTAGTGTCTATACAGCAGCAGAATAAAACTATAAAGTCACTAATGTTCAGTTAACGGGTGCACAGGGTCCCATGGAGGTTACCTTTGACCTGGAAACGGAACCCGCATTGAACGGGGCTCTGATGCTTATGTAGCCACCAGACCCCTCCTGGAGCAGTTACCTATCTCTGCTTTTGTGAGGGGAGAAACAATATTCCAGTCTGTTAAATAAAAATGAAATTACCTTAGCAAGGATTGGTCTGGTGCCCCCAGCCTTTGGTCCCAGAAGCAGTTGGATCTTTGTAAGTTTAATATCATCCTGTGCTGCATAAGACTCTATCACACACACACACAAATGTACTTGGAATTCCTAGGCTGATTTCTAATCATCACACTTTAGGCTTCAGTGACTTTGCCTTCCAAACTTGGTTTTTGGCCTTCATACATGTGCTGTGACACACATACACATATTAATACATGCATCATCACAGTATTAAAATAATAAAATAAATTTAAAGGGTTTGTGCGGTTTGGTTTTTCAAGACAGGGTTTCTCTCTGTGTGGCCTTGGCTATCCTGGACTCACTTTTGTAGACCAGGATGGCCTCAAATTCACAAAGATCTGCCTGCCTCTGCCTCCCTGAGTGCTGGGGTTACAGGCCTGTGCCACTGCCCTGCTACAAAAACCTTTAAAACTATATAAAATTACTTTCTAAGGAGCCCTGAGCCTCGGAGATGTGGAGTAACCTGACAAATGTATTCTCTGCAGAGATCATGGCCTCTGCTCTGTCTGTGAGAAATTATGTTTGACACAGGGTCTCTCAATGTAGACCAGTCTGTCTTGGAACTTTATGTAGACTATGTTGGCCTCCAGCTCCTGGTAACTCCCCTGCCTCAGCCTCCTGAGTGCTTGGATCACAGATACAAGCCTCTGACAGGTTTCTAGATACCTTATTCTTTTTACTCCATGTTGCTAGATATGCCATCAGCTGCTGACCTTGGGAAAGCATTCAGAGGATGTGAAGAAAACAGAAAAGGGCTGGAGGAGTAGTTCAGCGCATACGAGCACTGATTGCTCCTGCTGAGGACCCAGGCGCCATTCCCAGTGTCCACACAGCAGCTCATGATTACACTCGCAGAGGACCTAACGTCCTCTTCTGGCCTCTGTAAGCACCAGGCACGCATGGGGTGTGCATACATATGTACAAGCAAAATACCCATACAGAGAAGATAACATATTCTTTTTAAAATTATGAAAAAAGAAAGAAACCGGAAAAACAGGGCAGGGGCTTCCTGTTGGAGGAGGCTGAAGACCCCATACTCACCTGAGCTGTGGCCAGGCAGGAAGTGGTCCAAGAACACTGGCTTCTTTTTTCGTCGTTTGCTTTCAATTCCGTGTGGGTCTGGAGGAAGGTGAAGATGAGGGTTTCTTACCCCAACAACCCACCCATCCCAAGCAGGTCACCCGTCTCCTCCCAGGGACCTGGGAATGGGTGTGGGCAGCAGTGGAGGGACACACCAGAGCTGCTCAGCTCCCCAAGGACGTCAGGCAGTCCCCGCTTCCTCTTCTTGTCCACACCGTAACTGTCTGTTCAGAAGAGAAGAGACATCAAAAAGTCATATGTCAGTAAACCACAGAGGTCACTATGACAGTCAGTCACAGGGATGGCTATGACAGTTGGTCAGGAGGTCGCTATGGCAGTGGGTCACGGGTCGTTATGACAGTCACAAAGGTTGCTATGGCAGCATGTCACAGAAATTGCTATGACCTGCAATCACAGAGGCTGCTATGGCAATTGGTCAAGAGGTTGCTATGACAGTTGGTCACAGAGGTCATTCTAGAGAGGAAGGGTTTGGTTTTCACCAACTTATGCAAGTAGATTTCTGTATCTTAATTAGGACAAAAGATTAATATAGGCCAGACATGGTGGCGCACGCCTTTGATCCCAGTATTCATGGGGCGGAGGCAGGCAGAGCTCTATGCGTTCTGGGCCAGTCTGGTCTACAAAGTGAGTCCAAGACAGCCAGGGCCAGAAAAATCCTGTCTGAAAAAGCCAAAAGAATCCCCCCCCCAAAAAAAAGCTCAATGCAGGTGGGGTCTCTCTGGATCCTACCTCAGGACCTTTGCACTAGCCCGTCCACTTGCTTTCCCCATCCTACATACATGTGTGTGGAGACCAAATGGCAATCTCCATTGTCATTCTTCATTTGTCATCTAACTTTTTGCTCTGTTATGTTCTTTCATTTTGAGAAACAGTTTCTCGGTGGCCTGTGGCTTGCCAGCCAGCCTGGGACTCAGGCTGAGTCTCAGGAAAAGAACTGAACTCAGAACCTCATGCTTGCAGGGTAAGGACTTTACTCACTGAGCTACTGCCCCCAGGCCTGCTTTCTCTTCTCTTTCTTCCTCATACCTACTTCCTGCATCAAGGCCAAAGACCTGGTCTCCAGGGTGGGATAGCTGTGGTCTGAACGGTTACCATGATCTCGAGGCAGGTAGGTGAAGGGCAGAGGCTCGCTGCACACCCCATCTGTGAGCCGCTGCAAGAAGACATTGACAGTCACAGGCTCTGAGATCTCCAGGTCCTCGTAGGGTGGTGTCTTGAACACAATGGCAATCTGCCGGTGCACGTCAGCTTGAGAGAAGTCGGCTCGCCCTTCCCAGGAAGCTGTGCTGAACACCACGGATATGTCCTCTGGTAGGGGTAGGTTGGGGTAAGGATACAGCTACTAAGCCAAGGGGAGTCAATGGTCCACTAAGCCTCTACTCACTCAGTCTCCCCCAATCAAACCAGTATTTCAAATAGTAAAACCACCCAGGGGGGCTGAACATCGTGGAGCACCCCTTAGTGCCAGCATTAGGAGGCAGAGGCAACAGAATCTTGGTAGATTGAAGGCAGCCTGATCTACTTAGTACATTTCAGGCCAACCAGGGAGACACAGTGGGCCCTGTCTAAAACAAACAAACAAACAAAAAACAAAAAACCCAGCTACCCAGGGGCTCTACACAAAAGCAAGTAACACAAGTATGGTGACAAGGGCATACAACCTCAACAGTTTGGAGACTGAGGCAGGAGAATTGTGAATTCAAAGTAAATCTGGGTGACTAAATCAGAGAGACAGTATTTTGGTGTGAAAGAGCTGGGGATATAGTTCAGCTGTACAGAGTTGGTCTAAAGTCCATCCGGAGCTAGGCAGTGGGTGGTACAGGCCTTTAACCCAGCACTTGGGAGGCAGAGGCAGGCAGATCTCTGTGAAACTGAGGCTAGCCTGTTCTACAAAGAGTCCAGGACAGCCAGAGCTACACAGAGAAACTCTGTTTCAAAAGACCAATTAATTAATTAATTAATTAACTAATTAATTTCATCAACGAGAGAGAGTTGGGGGGCATGGTTGAGTGGTAGAACACCTGCCTAAAATCCCCCAGTGAGGGACTGGGGTGTGGTTGAGTGGTAGAGCCCCTGCCTAGAATTCCCCAGTAAGGGGCTCAGTCATAGGTTAAGTGCTTGTCTAGCATGGATTAGGCCCTGAATTTCATTCCCAGGACTGTAAGAACATATAATCAAACCAGTCTATGGCACACATCTGTAATCCCAGAACTCTGAACAGTTTAAACAAAAGAATATCAAGCCAGCCTGATCCTACAGTGAAACTTTGTCTCAAAAATCAAACACAGTGACAACAAAAGAAGAAAAATGTGAAAGATACAAAAATAACAGAAGGAGAAAGGGAGGGACTCCTGTTTTGTGCCTAGCAGATTCGTCCTAAGTGGAGGGTGGTTTTCATTTTTGTTTGTTGGTTTCTCAGTTTTTGTTTTCAAGCCTATTTGAGGAAGGGAGGACAAAACAAGCAAATGACACAGGGAGGACATATATCCCTTATTTGCTTTCTCTCCACCTGTTTTGATGACTATCATAAAGCAAGAGGTTTCCTTTGTTTTGTTTTACATTTTTCTTATTATTGTTATTATTTCTTTTGTGTGTGTGTGGGTAGTTTGTTATCAAGTCTGTTTGTGTATCAGATGTGTTCAGTGCTTGAGGGTGTTGGAGTGGTGAGCTGCTTTGTGGGTACTGGGAACCAAACCTTAGTCTTCTAAAAAAAAAAAAAAAAATAGCCAGTGCTCTTAACTGCTGAGCCTTCTCTCCAGCCCCTTGTTTTTGTTTTTACTGGGAGTGTTTGGAATCACAGAATGTGGTGCTCCACCACTGAGCCACATCCTGAACCCCTCACTGGGGAATTCTAGGCAGGAGCTCCACCACTGAGCCACACCCCAGCCCCTCACTGGGGGATTCTAGGCAGGGGCTCTACCACTGAGTCACATCCCAGCCCCTCACTGGGGTATTCTAGGCAGGGGCTCCACCACTGAGACACCCCAGCCCCTCACTGGGGGAGTCTAGGCAGGGGCTTTCCTGCTGAGCCACACCACAGCTTCTCTTTTTTGTTTGTTTGTTTGTTTGTTTGTCTGTTTGTTTGTTTTTAAGACAGGATTTCTCTGTGTATAGTCCTGGCTATCCTGGAACTTACATTATAGACCAGGCTGGCCTCAAACTCACAGAGATTTTTGCCTGCCTCTGATTCCCAAATGCTGGTATTAAAGACATGTGCCACAACGGACATCCCCAGCTCCTCTTAAAGCAACTGTACAGTTGCATTTCTAGTGCAGCAGCATCCTGAAAGAGCACTGCATGGCCCAGGTCAGCTCATGGGCTTCCATGCCTGGCAGACAAGAGCTAGCTCATGAACCCATTGCCTGCATCTGCCCCCTTCTGTACCTGTGGCTCTGACTCCCTCTGGAGTACTGCCCTGGCTAACCAGCTCCCCACCTCTGCCTCTCTACTGTACAAGGCCTGGGGCACCTCACCTTTTTGCACTTTGTCACACAGCAAATACAGCTCCTCACCACCTGTGCACGGCCCACTCTCCTTGTTGATTCGGCAAATCCGCAGCTCTGATGTGTTGGTTGACTCTGAGAAGAGGTGCAGAAGGAAAATCGACCATTCAGTCATCACACCATTGTGCTTGCTCATAGGTAAGAGAGACAGAAAAGTGAAGACACGCCATGCATGTGGAACACAGGACACTCGGGCAAGAGGGTGCAATGTACAATGGCCAGAGCTCCACTTTCAAGTATGCTTAGTGTCTATCAAAACGGGGACCCTGGGACTCAGGGACACTTGACGTGTCCAGGGTAACCCAAATGAGGGTTTACAACCTCAAGTACTATGTTTGTTTCCCCAGGGAAAGGGATGGAACCCAGAACCCTGCAATAGCTAGATAAGAATTGTATCACTAAGCTAGGCATGGTGACACACGCCTATACTCCCAGCACTCAGGGAGGCAGAGGCAGGTGGATTTCTGTGAGTTTGAGGCCAGCCTGATCTACAGAGTGAGTCCAGGACAGCCAAGGCTACACAGAGAAACTCTGTCTCGGGGAAAAAAAATTATACCACTAAGCCACGCCTTAGCCCTCATTTTATTACCTGAATTAATCTTGATCAGCTGCCCAAGATGGCCTTGAACTTACCATCTTGCCTGAGCTTCTTACGTGGGTGGGATTATAAGCATGTGTCACCATGTCTATCTGCCACCTGTCCTGATTCCTTATCAGCAGTCCACGTCCTTCCTTCGTTAAAGCTCTTAAAGCCAGGAACCACCCCATCTCAGCTGTGAGCTATGAGGAGTGTTGAGGACATGGCCTAGCCCTGGTCAATCAGTGCATCCCCTCCGTCTGGCCACTGTGATGGGTAACAGGAGCAAATGACTAAACTCCCACTGAAGAGAAGGTATGCAGAGGCTGTGAGTAAAAATTGAGTAATGTCAAGCATATAGTGTATTCTTGCAATTCCACCACTGAGGAGGTGGAGGAAGGAGGATTGATAATTTGTTCAGCTCCATAGAGGGGTGTTATCTTAAAATATTAAATAAACAGAACCAGGCATGGTGGTGCACGCCTGTGATCCCAGGGAGGCAGAGGCAGGTATATCCCTGTGAGTTCAAGGCCATCCTGGTCTACAGAGAGAGTCCAGGACAGCCAGGGCTACACAGAGAAACCCTGTCTAGAAAAACAATAAATAACTAAATAAATAACTAAGCAAGCAAACAAACAAATAAATTGGGGCTGGGGTGCAGCTCAAGTGCTTCTCTATCATGCACAAACCCTGGATTCAATCCCTAGTCCCTATAAGTGGGTTACGATAGTTCTGGATGGTCCTCTCAGCTCTCAGGAGGAGGAGGCAGGAGATCAGGAGTTCAAGGTCATCTCTAGCTACAAAGACAATTAAGGACAGGTATGGGGTACATGAAACCCTGTCTCAAAATGAACTATTGGCTACTGATGGATTCTGGGAAAGGAATCATCACTGTTATCATTTGTGTACCCAACAGTGAGCAGACCAGGCTCCTGTAGATAGTTCCCAAGCTGTGGTCAAACAGGGGTCTCAATTAAAATCAGTGGGCTACAAAATAAAACACAAAAATACTAATGTGGAAGGGACTTGAAGGAAGGAAATAAGATGGAGGTGGGGAACAATGAGAAAGCAAAAGCTTAATGGACTATGTATGTGTACAGAACTGTCAAGGAAAATATTTAATCAATAAAAAGTACAAGAATCGGTGATAGCCAGGCACGGTGGCACATGCTTGTAATCCCAGCACACGGGAAGGAAGAGGCAGGCAGATCTCTGTGAGGCAGCTTGGTCTACAAAGCAAGTCTAGGGCAGCCAAGGCTACACAGAGAAACCCTGTCTCAAAAAACAAAACAACATTAAAGGGCATCGGTGATGTGGGCCTGTAATCCCAGCACTCAGGGAGACAGAGGCAGATGGATCTCTGTGAGGTAGAGGTCAGCCTGGTCTACAAAATGAGTCCAGGACAGCTAAGGCTACACAGAAAAAAAGAAACAAAACAAAAAGTACAAAAGGAAGAGAGAAATAGCTATATAAACGGACAAGGTGCAAACTACACAAGCATACAGGATGGCGCTGCCCATCCTAGGCTTTGGATGTCCATGTGATGTCTGGAGCTATGGCATGTACTGTGTGCCCAGGATGGAAAAAGAGAGAGCTGAAGAAGGGCAGACCCAGCTCTAGGACTTTGGCCCCAGAGCACCATGTAAACGTAGCAAAACAAGCAGAAAGCCCTCAATGATACCCTGTCTATCCATGCCACTGTTTGGAGAGCTTTCTGATACCTGAGGCAAGTTAATCCCAAGAAGCGCAGCACCCTTGACTCACTCTTGTCGTAGACAGGCTCGGAGAGAACAGGGTCCAGACGGCGTAACTGTCCGTGCTGGTCACGATAGGAGGCCTGGAAGCAGATCCTAACCACATTCATGTCCACCTCCTGATGGTTCTTCAGGGAGCCAGCTGGGAGAGGGCAAAGAGAGGTCGCAGCTGATTTGAGTTGCTGTCGGCAGGGCGATGAAGGCAAAGGGCCCAGACAGGGTGGTGCCTGCCTGTCGTCTCAGCACAGGGGAGGTGGAGGCAAGAAGATCCAGCATTCAAGGTTATCCTCATCTACACAGCAAGTTCAAGGACAGCCTGATGCCTTGTCTCAAAAACCAAAAGGGAAAATTAATTCAAGGGGCCAGTGAGATGGCTCAGCAGGTACAATGGCTTGCTGCAAAGCATGAGAAGCAGATTTCATCTGCTGGAGCCACATGATGGAGGAAGAAAACTGCTTCCTGCAGGGTATCCCTTGATCTCGACCAGCATGCACACACAGCACAAAGCCCATATGCATACACAGAAAATAAATGTGCGTGATACCTTTTAATTTTTATCAAAAGAAAAGAAGCCAGGCGATAGTGGTGGTATACACCTTTAATCCAATAAGTAGGTAGACTGTGGGTTCTAGGCCAAAGTGAGTTAAAAGATAGCTAGGGCTACATGGAGAAACCCTGTCTCTAAAAAGCAGAAAGAAAAGAAAAGAAAAGAAAAGAAAAGAAAAGAAAAGAAAAGAAAAGAAAAGAAAAGAAAAGAAAAGAAAAGAAAAGAAAACAAAGGAAAGAAGGAAGATGGGAAGGAAGGGAGAGAAAGAAAGAAAAAGAGAGAGAAAAGAAAGGGAGGAGGAAGGAAGGAAGGAAGGAAGGAAGGAAGGAAGGAAGGAAGGGAGGAAGGAAGGAAGGAAGGAAGGGAAAGGAGAAAGAAAGGGGAGGGGGGAGAAAGGAAAGGAAAGGGAAGGAGGCCACCTAAAGGGAAGGGGACTAGAGAAGCTGGCACTCACCATTATAGGGGTCGATTCCCAGCTGGATCTTACGCTCAATGGCCGCCTCGATCTCCTTCTTTCGAACACACTGGATGCCCAGGTTGTTAAAGCTGGGCAAGAGAAGAAGAGGCTGTGAGGGTGGCATCCTCTGGGCACTGTCGACAGCTGCACTGAGGCTGTAGGCACAGCCCTCGGAGGAGCATGGGAAAGAGCTGGGACTTCTCAGCAGCCACCATGGAGAAATGCCAGCAGGTTCCCTTATACCAAGGAAGGTGCAAAGGGAGCCTGGACTCTCTGCACTTGGAAAGCTGAAGTGGGGATGGGGGGTGATCCTGAATTTGAGACTAGCCTGTGGTACACAGAAAGACCACTCCAAAAATAACTAATTAAAAAGCTCCATAAATGGTTTCAGTAGTGCTCTTAGCTCTCAGAAGGCAGAGGTAGGAAGATCAAAAGTTTAAGGTCAGTGGTGCACCCTTTAATCCCAGGACTGGGGAGGCAGAGGCAAGAAGATCTCTGTTCCAGGTAACAAGTTTCAGGCCAGTCATGACTACATAGTGAAACTGTCAAAAGAAAAAAAAATTGAAGGCCACTCTCAAGCTACAATAATGAATTTGAGCTAACCTGGCCCATATCAGTCCTTGTCTCAAAAGAAAAAAAAACACTGGGGCTGATTAGATGGCTCAGCAGGCAAAGGTCTCTGCCAGCCAGCCTGGCGACCTGAGGTCAGCCTCGGCAGCCACACAGCGAGAGGAGACAGCTGAGCCCCGCATGTTGTCTTCTGATGTGTGCGCCGTGGCTAACCAGCCCTGGAATCCAGTGGCAGCTCCGATATAAGCTGTACCCATGCTCCGTTCCCTCTCTGACCCTCTGTCTCCTCTTCTACAGAACGGAAATAAAAAGAATGAGTAGGGTCTGGTGATAGCCGCCCATAGAGACTTGAGTTCTGTTCTTTGTTGGTGGTGGTGGTAGTTTGTTTTTGTTTTTCTAGACAGAGTTTCTCTGTGTACCCCTGGCTGTTCTGGACTTTCTTTGTAGACCAGCTTGGCCTTGAACTTAGAGATTCCCCCTGCCTCTAGCTTCCTAAGTGCTACTGGGATCACAGGCGTGCGCTACCATGCCCAGCTTCGAGTTAGTTTTTGATTACAAGTTAGTTAGTTTTGACTATATGGCAAGACCCTGTCTCAAAAGGCAAAACAAAAAACCCAAAATGGAACCGATTTGAGTGTGCGTGGCAGGTTTTCCTACCCAAGTAGGGCCCACTACTGCCTCCACACCTTACTTTACCCATTCATCCAAGGTGAGGGAGGGTCTAGCTAAGATGCCTGTGTCCTAGGCTTTCCCAGGTGATGATGTTCACACAGCTCTACAGCAGAGGTGACAAGCTGGGGTCAGAGGTCAGGGTGCAGTCGGGGGCTGGTACCTGTGCCGGGGGCTGACGTGGGGCCGCAGCCGCACCCTGCAGACGCCATCGGTGCAGTCTTTCCCCACAAGGCTGTGTGGGTGTACCCGGTGTGGCCAGTCCTTCCACACCAGGCACGCCGTCACCTCCACCTCCCGCAGCCCGCCACAGTCTCGAAGCTGCAGGAAGACATGGGCTTGTTGGGAATTTGGTGGACCCCTGGCCCCATCCAGGCTCCCTTGTTGCTACCCCCTCCCATCTCCCTAGACAAACCAGGGAAATGTTCACTTGAGACCACTCTAGGTCTGGCGCAGTGGTTAACAGCACTGTCTGCTCTTCCAAAGGACCCGGGTTCAACTCCCAGCACCCACATGGTAGCTCACAACTGTCTGTAACTCCAGTTCCAGGTGGTCTGACTCCCTCACACCAATGCACATAAAATAAAATAAAATTATACTCTGTAAAAAGATGGCTCTCCTCTGCAATGCTGGAAACACGTCAACAGTGGCCAGGGAGTCTTGCAATGTTCGCTCTATCCCACCCCCCTCCCTCTGTCCCTTCCTTCCCTACCGACCTCTTTCTTTGCTGGATTTTTTTTGACATATACTGTTTGAGACAGACTCTCGTGTACTCAGGTGGGCCAGGCGTGGCTCTTATTCGCTAGGTTGCCAGGCTGGCCTTCAACTCCTGCCTCAGCCTCCCAGGCGCTACGTTACAGGTGTGAGGCATTATATCCTGCTCTTGTGAGGATTTTTGAGATCAGCCTCATGTAGTCCAGGATAGCCTTGAACTCATTGTGTAGTTGAACTTGAACCTTGATCCTCCTGCCTGTACCTCCAGAGAGAACACTGGAAGGCCTGCACCACTGCTTCCAGCACATAAAGATGTGCTTTTTTTTGAGACAGAATCTCACTATGTAGACCAGACTGGCCTCAAACTCATAGATATCTGCCCACTTCTACTTCTCAAGTGCTTGGATGAAAAACTTGTGCCACCATGCACTGCAGATGTAGTCCTAAGAGCTGAACAAACACAGTTCACTTAGAGAGAGACAGACAGACAGACAGACAGACAGAGACAGGGAGATGAGATAGCTGGACAGGATGGTATATTCCTGTAGTTCTACCTAACTTTGAAAGCTGAGGCAGCATGATCTCTTCTTGGGTTTTGGAGTTTGGGGCCAGCCTGGGAAACATTTGAAGACTCCAGTTCAAAAACAAGCAACCACAACGAAAAACAGTCCTGGTATAAGCCTGTAATTCTAGCTACTCACAAGCTGAGGAAGAATAAAAAGTTAAGTGCCAACCTGGGCTACAAGTGTATGACTCAAAATAAAAAATTAAATCAAAAAGCTGGGGGTGTGGCTCAGTGCTAGAGCCCCTGCCTAGAATTCCCCAGTGAGGGGCTGGGGGTGTGGCTCATAGAGCACCTGCCTAACAAATTTTTAAAAACCTGGGTTCAATACCCATTACTGGGGAAAGAAAAAAAAAAAAAAAAAAAACAACAACAACAACAGAAGAACTGATTTCTTATTTAACAGCCACAGGTGATGGAGCAGACAGTAGCCAGCCCCAGTAGATGGCCCTGATGCAACTCTTCCTTTTGCTCTGGATCCGTGTTTGGATCCTGCTGGTCTCAGGGTCTCAAAGCCGCCTCGGGAGACATACACTTGCCCGGAGGCGTTTGAGTGAGTGCTTCCCTCTAGCGGCGACGTGGGATGCTGAGTGTAACTTTGGACCGCACGTGTTTGGAGCAGTGGTCACTGGAGCAGCCTCACACAACCACCCAATATCCTATAACCCGGCACTGCTGTTCTAAAGAAAAGGCCACGCTCTGCAGTCCAGGCTGGCCACACTCTCCTCCAGCTCCCCAGACGCTGAAGTTTAGGAGGCCCTTTCGCGGTTTGGGCATGGAAGCCCCTCGATGCCATCTCCAGGCACGAGGGCAAAGGGGGCGGCAGTGCACGCACCTCGATGGCGGGCAGCGTCTTGTTGGCTTCCGTGCTGCTCTCCCCGAGGATGCTGCCGGCCGAGCGGCCCTCGCACTCGTAGCGGAAGCGCATGCCGCGCTGCTTTGGCTGCTCTGTGATGACCAGGTGCGGCCGTGGGCCCGGGCCGGGTGACACCAGCCTGCCCAGCGTGCAGCTCCAGGGCGGTGTGGCTGGAGGCGGCGGTGCAGCTGGCCCCAGGGTGACGCTGCTTAGCGAGGCCGGCCCGCGGGGCACCAGGCGGGGCACCTCACCCAGCTGCGCCCCGTCCAGACCGAAGCCTTTCTCCTTAATGTACTCGTCGATAATTTCTGCGGGACAAACACATGGGTGAGGCTGGGGAAGGGCAGGGCTAGGTTCCCCTTCCTGCCTTCCCCTTTGGTTTTGTTTTTTCGGGTGTGTTTTTATGGTTGTTGTTTGGTTGGTTGATTGGTTTGGTTTGGTGAGATGGGGTCTCACTACGTAGCTGTGGCTGGCCTGGAACTTGCTATGTAGACTAGGCAGGTCTTGAACACACAGGCATCCACCCTTATCTCCTAGGATATGCGCCAGGCCTGCACTTCACCTTTATTCTTTGCTTGTTTGATTTGTTTTGTGATTTTATGATTGTTGTTTTGTTTGTTTCGAGACAGGGTTTCTCTGTGTGGCCCTGGCTGTCCTGGAACTCAATCTGTAGACCAGGCTGGTCTGGAATACACAGAAATCAGCCTGTCTCTGCCTCTGGAGTGCTGGGATTAATGGTATGTACCACCAACCCAGGCTCATCCTTGATTTTCTTTCTCTCTCTCACTCTCTCTCTCTCTCTCTCTCAATCTTATTGTATGTGTGTTGCCTGCATATATCTGTGTACCACTAGGAAGGTTCAGTGTCCTCAGAAGCCGGAAGACATCAGAGCTCTCACAACTGGAGTTACAACTGGAGTTGTTTGTGAGCTGCCATGTGGGTGCTGGGAATTGACAGTCCTCTGGAAGAGCAGCCAGTGCTCCTAACTGCTGAGCTGGCTTCCGGTCCTCTAAAGCTTTATAAAATTCTGCAGATGCCCATGTCCATACAGGGGTGTGTGCCAATGAGTGCCCAGCCTGCAGAGGCCTGAAGAGGGCCTAAGATTCCTAGAGCTGGACGTATGGGTGTTTGTGAGTCTTTCAACATGAGTGCTGAAAACCAAACTTAGGTTCTCTGCAAGAACAACAAGAACTCTTAACCACTGAGCTGGCTCTCCAGGTCCTTCCCCTGGGGTTTCTGAGATGGATGCTCACTGTATAGCCAAGGCTGATCTCCCATACAAGATCCTCTTGCCTCTGCCTCTCTAGAGCTGGGATTACAGACACGTGCCACCAGGAGGAACTCCACGCAGCACTTCCACCTCTGTGCCTCTATTTCAAAACCATATTTACTCTCCCTATAGGCTCCTTCTCCCACTGTTGGGCCCCCACCCCATTCCACCCACCATCTCCCAGGCGACAAAGGCAGTTGTGGGTTCTCCTCTGGTCCTGCCTTTCATCCCTTGTATTTGTTCATTTCACACAGCCAAAGGGGTTTTGTTAGCATCAACCCAACCCTCTTTTGCCTAGAAGCCACCGTGGTTCCCAATTCTCTGCCAGTAAAGGCCAACAGTGTCCTTGCTTCAAATGGGGAGAGAGTTCATCAGTAGAATCTGCCTTACAATTCCCCAGTGAGGGGCTGGGGGCATGGCTCAGTGGTAGAGCCCCTGCCTAGAATCCCCAGTGAGGAGCTGGGGTGTGGCTCAGTGGTAGAGCTCCTGCCTAGAATTCCCCAATGAGAGGCTGGGGTGTGGCTCAGTGGTAGAGCCCCTGCCTAGAATCCCCCCAGTGAGGGGCGTGGCTCAGTGGTAAAATGTTGCCTAAAGTGGGAGGATGAACTTGAGATTTCCCTGACCTACAGGGCAATATTTGCCTCAAATAAACAGAGAGCTGTAGCTCAGTTAGCAGAGTGCTGGCCCAGCATGCACAGGCATGAAGCCCTGGGTCCTACCTCAGCACTGCCTCCAATCCCAGCCCCAGGGAGGTAGGAGGAGGGACAGCCTAAGCGACACAGTTATTTTAAGGCAGGCCTGGGCTACTTTTTATTTTCTTGTTTTTGTTTTTTTTTTTCAAGTCAGGGCTTATCTGTGTAGCCCTAGCTGTCTAAAACTCACTCTGTAGACCAGGCTGGCCTCAAACACAGAGATCCTCCTGCCTCTGCCCCCCAAGGGGTGGGATTAAAGGTGTGCACCACCACTGCCCGGCTTCAACCTGGGCCACTTTAAACCCTGTCTCAAAAACAAAACCTTTCTTGAAGTCCATTTGCTCAGAAAAACTAAACAACAAAAACCAACCAAACAACAACAACAACAAAAACAGCTGCACCCCTTCTGTTTCTTCTACCCATCTAGCTTGGTCACCTTCAGGACCATGAACTTGTTCCTCCTCTTTCCTTGTTCCCAGATTTCACTCCATTCAACCCATATGGCACTTTAAGCTGCCACCTTCTGTGAAAGCCACACCTTTTCACCTTTCTCCCTCTTTCTTCTCTATTCCTTTCTCTCTCTTTTTTCTGAGATGGAAATTTACTCTGTAGCCCAGGCTAGCCTAAATTCTCTATGTAGCTCAGACTGGACTCAAATTCTCTCTCTCTAGTTTTTTGTTTGTGTGTTTGTTTTTCTGTTTTTCTTTGCTTTTTCAAGACATGGTTTCTGTGTAGCCCTGGCTGTCCTGGAACTCATTCTGTAGACCAGGCTGTCCTCAGACTCAGAGATCTGCCTGCCTCTGTCTCCTGAGTGCTGGGATTAAAGACCTGCACTACAGCTGCCACCACTACCTGGCCTAAGTTCTCGCTGATCCTCCTGCATCTGCTGAGGAGGGCGGGTGCTGAGCTCAGGTGTGCCTGACTGCGTCTTCCCAGGCATCTCCCTCTCCAAGTTTCATCCTAACCTCACATTCTCTTGCTCATTCTCTGTTCTCTTGTCATCTGACTCCCCAGTCCACACTGGTAGCTCCTGCTGGGTATTGAGTTAGTTTTGTTCAAAGCTGGATTCCCAGTGTGCCTGGCGCTGGGCCCAGTACAAGGAGGATCAATGCCATCCATGACTGAGCACTGGTTACAGATAACGGAAACACAGACACCTGCTGAGTGCTCAGGACCGTGGGAGAACGACCTTGCTCAGATCCTCAGTAGTCCTGGAATCACACCAGGACCTGCTCCCACAACACAAGGAAGGCCTGCCCCAGCTCTACCAACACCCCGGCCTTCAGCCTCCCGCTCACCTGCCTTCTGATACTCACCCAGTTCATCTGTGGAAGGAAGAGAAAAGAAAGGTGAAGGTCAGATACCATCAGACTTGTCATCTAACACAAACTCCTCAACCTTGTCCCCAAGGTGGACTTGCGGGGGCTTCCATCCCATTCTCCTTTACCCCTTCTGGACTATCCCCTCAGCTCTTAACGTTGGGGCCCAGCACCAAGGTATCCCCAAAGGAACTCAAATGCCCCCTTTGTCCACCCTAAAGCCCTCACAACCAGGGATTATAGTGTTGTCAGGAACTTGTAGGAAAGCAACATGGAGAAAGGGTGAGCTGTGGAGAGGGGGGAAGCTTGGGAGAGGGTGGAACTGATGGACGTGAGCAATTTTAAATAAACTATATACAGGTTCCATCCTGGAAGTTCGCCCTACGCCCGAAAAAAACTGATCAAACTGCCTGCTCTGCACCCTAGCCCAGTTCCCAAACTCTCAGGCTCACCCCTACTTCGCAGAGGGGGTGAGGAGAAGAGGGTAGCAGCCATGCTAGACACCCAGTGAGGGCCCCTCACTTCCCCAGTGAAAAATAAATGATGACGTAATCGCAACCAACCTCCCATCATTTCCCAGACAGGACAAGGGGAAGCCAGAAGAAGCAAACAGGCCCAGAAGTCACAGAGCAGGGAAGTGGGGACCTCCCCCAACTGACCGTTCCACCTGGAGTCACTGTGAAGGCTACTGGCTGGGGACTGATCACGCAGTAGCCCAGTCCTAGCCAGATCCCTCCTTCTCCCTCTCTTCCCCGCCCTTCAGCCCTTCCTCTCTCCACAGGAGTGGCTCCTGGCAGCCAGAACTTTGCCCCTTAGAAGAGGCAGTTTTCATGAACCCTTTATCTCATTTGATCTGTAAGATCAGGAGATGCCAAGGTCCCTTCTGGTGCAGATGGAAGATAACGAGGCCTGGAGAGTAGAGGGGACCTGACGGGACCAACCTCAAATCACTTTGTTTTGGGAAGCCCTTCTTAGAAATCTGTGCTGGATGAACCTGGAGAAGCAAAGACAAATTTGAACTCCCAGGTGTTGTGGCATGTGACTGCAATCCCGACACTGAAAGGCTGAGGCAGAAGGACTGCAGCTAGTTTGAGGCCAGCCTGGGCTACACAGTGAGCTCCAGGTCAGCCTAGGCTACAGAGTGAGACCTTGTCTCAACCAAACCAAACCCAAACTCAAGCCTTTCTACTTGGGGGTCTTCAATAGATTCCTGGGAGCTGGGCATGGAGGCACACCATCATCCTAGCCCTCAGGGTGCTGCGGAAGGGCTGCTGGGCTGAGTAACTTAGAAAAAGACTTATCTTCGACAATCAAACAAACAAAATCCATTCCAGGCCGGGCATGGGGATGGGTTCAAAAGTGCCGAGCTTGCCTGGCATATATGAGACTCACTTACTATGACACTATCAACTGTGAGTACTAAAGTATGGGGACCATGGCTGCCACATCCTCACTTGAGCCAGAGCTCCACCTGTGTCTAGCCCATCAGAATGAAGGAATTTGCCCTTCCACTTGCCCTACTTCATTACCTTGTCCCTCCCTACTATTGAATACCATTGACCCCACAATCTCTTCATAGGCTTCACCACCTTTTATGATCCCACCTTTAATTGTTTATATACCTCCTTCCTCATCTGGGCAGGGAGTCCTGTGAGGACAGGGCTGGGACTATCTTGGTCCCTGCTGTGCCCTCAGAAATGCCCAGCACTAAGTCTGATATAGTCACGGAACAGACAACATCAGGAACATCGCTGAGAATCTCAGAGCTGTGTCTCAGGCCACACAAGTCTCAGCTCGTCGTTCTCGTCCTGAACCAGCGTTTGGGCCATGCCTGTCTCCAAGGCCATCCTCTACCTTTCTACACCTCTAAAACTCTCAGCACCTCCTGCCCACATCAGGACTTCTGCTGTCCACCCTGAGAGAAGTCCAGGCCTAGCCGAACACTGAGGCTACTGAGTGCTAACACCGAAAAGCCCCACCTCTGTCTTCCAAATCTCAGGGAGTAAATTATGTCTTTGATTTTTTGTTTTTTTAGAGGGATCTGGTTTGTTTATTTCTCTGTTTGAGACAGAGTCTCACTATGCAAACAGGATGACTTCAAACTTGAGATCTTCCTACCAAGGATGGGGACTTCAGGCATCCAGAGCCATGCCTGGCTTGAGGGACCCGTTAGAACAGTCATCTCTGAGAACAGCATATCCTGCAGAGTTCCTAAATATGAAACTCTCAGAACTTGTTTGAAACATATTCACTCAGGTATTCTGAAAGTTGTACTTAACAATGTTTGTACTTTCTGTGTATTTTGCTGTATTCAGGGCATGTGGTGGTTTGGATGAAAATGTCCCCCATAGGTTCACAGAAAGTGGTACTATGAAGACATATGGCCTTGCTGGAGTGGGTGGGGCCTTGGAAGAGTACATCACTGGGGGTGGGCTTTGAGGTTTCAGATGCTCATGCCAGGACCAGTGTCACTCTCTCTTCCTGCTGCCTGTCTAGATAAAGAAACCTCAGCTACTTCTCCAGCGTCATGCTGACCTGCATGCTGCCATGCTTCCTGCCATGATGATGATGAGCTAAATTTCCAAACTGTAAGCCAGCTCCAATTAAACATTTCTCTTTATAAGAGTTGCTATGGTAAGCTGGGTGGTGGTGGCTGTGCATACCTTTAATCCCAGCACTCCCCAGGCAGAGGCAGACAGATTTCTGAGTTTGAGGCCACCCTGGTCTACAGAGTAAATCCCAGGACAGCCAAGATGTGGTAGTTTAAATATAACTGGCCCCCATAGGCCAAGAAAGAGTGGCACTATTAGGAGGTGTGGCCTTATTGGAGTAGGTGTAGCCTTCCTGGAGGAAGTGTGTCACTGTGGGAGTGGGCTTTGGGATCTCATATGCTCAAGCTAAGCCCCAAGTGGTACACAGTCTCCTTGTGCTGCTTCAGAGTAAGATGGATAATTCTCAGCATCTCCAGCCAGCATCTCCAGCATCATGTCTGCCTGCACACTGCCATGCTTCCTGCCATGATGATGATGGACTAAACCTAGAAACTGTAAGCCAGCCTCAATTAAATGTTTTCCTTTATAAGAACTGCCAAAATCATGGTGTCTCTTCACACCAATCAAAACCTTAACTAGGGCTGGAGAGATGGCTCAGTGGTTAAGAGCACTGTCTGTACTTCCAGAGGTCCTGAGTTCAATTCCCAGCAACCACATGGTGGCTCACAACCATCTATAATGAGATTTGGTGCCCTCTTCTGGTGTGTACGCATACATGTAGGCAGAGTAGCGTATAAATAACAAAGTCTTAAAAAAAAAAACAAAACGGAACACCTTAACTAGCGGCCTTGTACATGCTAAACAAATGTTTTACCACTGTGCTATACCATCAGACCTTGAGGGTTTGTTTGTTTGTTTGTTTGTTTTATTTAATTCAGTTTGAAACAATCTCTCATGTTTCTCAGTATAGTATTTTGAATGAGAATGGCTCCCACAGGGCTGGAGAGATGGCTCAGCCGTTAAAGGCTAGACTCACAACCATAAATATAAGAGAATGGCTCCCACAGACTCATGTACTTGGTCCCCAGTTGGTGGAACTATTTGGGAAGGGTTAATAAGTGTACCCTTGTTGAAGGAGGTGTGTCACTGGGCATGGACTTTGAGATTTCAAAAGCTCACGCCATTCTCAGTCTCCTCCCCCTTCGTCTCTCTCAGCCTTACGCTTGGGGATAAGAATGTGAGCTCTGGGCTGGAGAAATGGCTCAGAGCTCTGGTTGCCCTTCCAAAGTCCTGACTTCAACCATCTATAATGAGATCTGCTGCCCTTTTTTGGTGTGTAGGTGTACATGTAGGCAGAACACTATATAAGAAATAAATAAACAAATAAAGAATACATGTTTTTTAAAGAAGGAAAGAAAAGCAAAAAGAATGTGGGCTCTCAGCTGCTGCTCCAGGCCAGGCCTGCTGGTCTGTTGCCCATCTCCCTGCTGTGATGGTCATGGACTCGCCTGCTGGTCTGTTGCCCATCTCCCTGCCATGATGGTCATGGACTCACCTTCTGAAACTTTAAGCCCCAATAAACCCTTTCTTCTGAAAGTTGCTTTTGGCCATGGTGTTTTGTCACAGGGATAGAAAACCAACTAAATCACTCAGATAGGCCTTGGACTTGATATGTAGCTGAGGATGACCCTGAATACTGATCTTCCTGTTCCCACCTCCCAGCTACTAGAATTGCAGGTGTGGGTTATTTGTTTGTTGTTTGTTTCTTTGTTTTGTGTTTTGACATAGGGTCTCACAGTCACCCAGGCTGGCCTTCATTTCAACGCAGTAGTCCTCAATGGCCTCAACTTTGTGTTCATCCCCCTGCTCCAGCTCCCCCAGTGCTGGGCACATTACAATACGGTACATTAAAGGCACGCACTGCCACTCCTGGCAGAGCCCTGGCTGGCCTGGCCTCACACTCAGGAGATACACCTGCCTCTGTCTGCCAAGTGCTAGGATTAAAGATGTGGGTTGCCAATGCCTGGCCCCCTCCTTTAAAAAAACAAGACTTCTAGGTAATATGAATGTACATGGTCTGAGAACTTATCACTGTCTAATAAGTTAATATTACTCTTATTATCATGACTGTGCCACTAACTAGAATGTTCCCTGTGTGTTTGTAAGCATCAGCTCACCCAGCTTTTTCCATCCCCATAAAGGAGAAAATTGGTACGACCTCCCTCCATCACACAGATGAAGAAAACTGAGACGGGTATGGGAAAGTCACCTGTGGATTCGCCCACTGAGGTGGTGGTCCCATCATGTCTGAACTTCAGTTCCAAGGCCCAAGATATTGGACGGTGGGGAACATCTACAAGGGCACTACTTAGGGGTTACTGTACAAGTTTCTAACAGACTTGGAAGTATGAACACATAAGTCGTTTAAACCATCCGGGAGGAACAAAGCTTCCAAAGTGGGCGAGCGCATTCCCTCTCCTCGGGGCCTCCTCCAACCCCATTTCCTCCAAGCAGGTAGGTGGGGACTGTGGAGGGCAGGCTCACCTGTGGTCCGGGAGACCGTCAGAGAGAGCGGAGAGAGGTCACTGGAACCTGTGAGGGGGAGATCCGGATCAGCAAACCAGAGACCCTGACAGCACGCTCCTCCCCCTGACCGGTCCTTTGAATAAGGCTCCTCCTGCTTACCGATATCCAGGTGAGCCCAGGTTTCTCGCTCTAACCCTTCTGGCTATCCTGGAACTCACTCCGTAGACTAGGCTGGCCTCGAGCTCACAGAGATCCATCTGCCTCTGCCTCCCGAGTGCTGGAGCTAAAGACGTGAGCCACCACCGCCCGGCTCACTCTCAACTCTTGACAAAATTCTGGCTTTTCCTTTTGGCATTGACCCCGCTACTTTTTTCATTAACATGGGGCTTGGAGGACTCCGATCGATCAGGAAAACCCCATCTCCCAGGGCAGGATTAGAACCCTAATACCTTGTCCGTGGAGCATCCTCCCCTCCCCTCTCGCTGCAGGCCCCGCCCCCGTTCAATTCCAGCCTCAGGGTCCTGCCCCTTCTTCTAGGCGTGCCAGCAAGCCCCGCCCCTTCTCCTCAGGTTAGTCCCGCCCACTCGCCGCGCCACACACCTCCGTGCTCTTGGAACCTGACCCGCCTCTTGTTTTCTGCCAAGCACCGCCCCCTCGAAAATCAGGCCCCGCCCTCCCTAATCGTGCAGCTGGGCCCCGCCTCTTTCTCTGCCTTTCGGCCTGGCGGGGGCGGCCATTGTCTGGAGAGTAGGACAGAGCCACTTCCTTGAATTGGGCTCCGCCCTTACTCCTCACTCCTCACCCACTCCCGAAGCCAGAAGTCACCTCTCCGAGCTTGCCCCGCCCCGACGCCTGTAAGGCCCCGCCCCCTCAGAGTTAGGCTCCGCCCCCGCCCTCGCTCGTCGCCGGACCCCGCCCCCTTCTTTACCTCAGGCTCAGGCCCCGCCCCCTCCTCACTCCGTAGCGGGACGCCTAGCCTGTACCTCCCGCAGGACCCTTCCTGCCTCTCGCCTCCTCTCTCACGCAGGGTGCCCGCCACCCCTGTACTGTCCGCACCGAAGCGCAAGCCCTGCGGGAACCCCCAGATGACTCCGCGCGCCCCGACCTCCCCCAGCCCGAGCCCTGCCCGCGACGTCCCACTCCGCTTACCCAAGGCTCCCAGCTCCGGCGCGGACGCTCTGGCAGCGCGGCGACTCGGCATGGCCCGGCACGTAGAAACCGACAGCCCGCAGGCCGGCTCCGGGCGAAGCGCGCACGAGGGCAAGCCGGACAGACGGACGGCCCGGGCTGCTGGGGCGATCACCGGCCGGGCGAGCGGCGCAGGGCTGGGGCCGAAGGCCGGGCTGGACGCACGGCGCCCGGGGCTGCGGGGGGCGCCGGGCCGGGCGGGCGGCGGGCGGGGGCGGGGCGGCGGAATTCCCCGGCTTCGCCGGCCCGCGCGCCCATTGGCTCGCGCCTCTCCGTGACATCACGCCAAAGGGAATGGGAAAACCCCCGCTGGTCACGTGAGCGCGGGGGCGGGGCCGGCCGAGAAGAGAAGGCTTGGCACTGCGCAGGGGCCGGATACGCCGTCGCTGCCCATTGCACTGCCCAAGCCCACTGAGGGCTGCCGGGGTCCCCTTGTGCTCTGCCCAGAACAGGCCGAAGAACCGGCACCCCTTGTTCCCCCACTAGGACTTGAACCTGTTTTTCAGACTGGAAAAGGATGTCAGAGCGGGAAGTTAGCAGCCATTGATGAGAATTTTAACATATATTTGAGATAGGGTCTCATCTAGCCCGGGGTGATGACCTTGAACTTCAGATCCTTCTGCCTTTGCCTCCCAAGTGCTGGGACGACAGGCCTTCACCAGCGCCTGATTGATGCACTCCTGAATATCGAACCCAGGGCTTCATGGACATTAGGCAATCACTCTAGCAACTGAGCTACAAGCACCAAACCCTTGACGATCTCATCTCTCTATGACACCTGTAAAAGTCTGTATGTTCTATTCCACTTCTCTCATGCAACAACGCATATTTGAGCACCTGCTGTATACTGCAGCCTGTAATGAAAACTGGGGCACAGCGTTCCTAAAGCCAGGTCCACTTCTTGCTCCCAAGGAGGCAGGAAACTGCAGCAGTGAATGGAGTGACGCTGGTGACACTGCTTCAGAGCAAAGAGCTTTGTTTTGGTTTCCTTACATGTGGCTCCGGCTGGCATTGAACCCATGACGATGCTCCTGCTTCACAGTCTTCCAAGTATTGGCATCACAGTCACAGGCGCCTACCATCATGCTCAGCTAAGAGCAAACTTTTTCTTGCAGTGACAAAGGCTTTGAGAACCAAATGGTGTTAATTTTCACCTACACCATTGTACATAAACAGCCAAGAGCCAGAAATAATTAGGAGTGTGGCTGTGTTCTAACAAAGCATATTTGGATGACTATGGAAGTGGGAATATCATGCAGCTTTTATATTAAGCATTTTTTCTCTTTGCACCAGATGGGTAATGTGCCAGTGTAGCAGGTAAGTACAGGGGTGGACACCGCCCATAGTGTAGATCGTCATCAGGCTTCAACCTGTTAGCCTTTTCTTCAGATTTTCCAGCTGTAGGGCCGAGGGCGTGGTTTGTGATAGAATGCTTGTCTAAGAGGTTTGAGACCCTAGGTTGTACCCTCAGCAGCACAAAATTATTGGAGCCATGGTATGCCTGTACTGGAGAGGCAGAGACAGGTAGTGAATTCCACTACATAGCAGGACCTTGTCTCAATACAAACAAATCAAAAAGAGGGGGAAAGGAGAAAAAAAAATAAGAGGGCTGGGGGTGTTAGAGCCCCTGCCTAGAATCCCCCAGTGAGGGGCTGGGGTGTGGCTCAGTGGTGGAACCTCTGCCTAGAATCCTCCAGTGAGGGGCTGAGGTGTGGCTCAGTGGTGGAACCTCTGCCTAGAATCTCCAGTGAGGGGCTGGGGTGTGGCTCAATGGTGGAACCTCTGCCTAGTGTGCCAGAAGACCTGGGTTGATCACCCAGCATCAGGAAAGTAAGTGCCAACCTGTACATGATGGTTCACACTAGTCCTGGATCCGAGATAGGAGGACTGTGAATTCAAGAGCAAATATGAGAGCCAGACATGACTCACTCACACCAGTAACTTCACTTGAAAGACTGAGGCAGGAGATTGCCATGAGTTCTAGGCTAGTCTGGACTACTCTTAGCAAGACCCTGCCTCAGAAGACAAGCAATCTGAAGAGAAGTTGTCATTTGAAGGTCCTGAATCAGATTTCCTGTGTTCAACTCCTAGGTTTTCTGGACAATTCTATGACCCCAGGTAACTGGGTTCACCCTCTGGACTTGTATTTCCCCTGACAGGAATCCCTAAACAAGATGGCTGTGAGGACTCAGTAAGGATTCTTGCCATAGTTCTTCCATGTGCCTGCACCATTCAAACTACTAAATACTTGTCAGGCTACTTAGATGAGGCTAGCCTCTGCCTCCTCCCGAGTGCTCTGATTAAAGCACTCCCATGCTGGGCTGGAAAAAAATCTGAGTCTCTCATCTGGAGGTGCAGATAACCATCATAAACATCAAAGGGCTGCTGTGAACATGTGTGTGTGTGTGTGTGTGTGTGTCAGTGCTGGACTGGACATTGTCCTCAAAACTGGGGACAATTCCAAGTGCATGCATAGTGTTAATTTTTATTCTTCCAAACAAGGTGTCAGCTAACCCAGACTAGTCTCAGACTCAATTTCTAGCCTGTGAGGATGACCTTGAACTCCTGATCCTGCTGCCTCCACCTCCCACTGCCAGGATTACAGGTGGGTGCCATCATGGTGAGTCTCACTTCGTAGCCCATGCTGGCTAAAATCTTCAAATCCCCCTGCCTCGGGCCTCTCAATATCAAGGATAAGATATGGCCACCGTACCCAACAGTGCCAGGGTTCCTGCAGGCTGTGAACTCCACAGGCTGTCATGGAGTGATGGTTCCTACTGTGTGCAGGACTGTCTTGTGCTGTGACTGCCCAAAGGAGGGATTTGGGGAACACCTATTGACCAAATATAGATCCACCCACCAGTACCCCAATAAGGGCTCTGGATATGTCCAGGTGTCTGTAAAAGCAAATGGCAGCAGAAGGGCTCGGACACAGCAGTCAGTGAGACACCAGCCAGGCTTCTTCAGTTTTGGTCCAATGAAGAATAGTCCTTGCCATGCCTCAGGCCCTGAGGATGGGAGGGCCCCGTAAGAAATGCCAACTGTAGCCTGTACTTCTGTCCTGGGAAGGGGAGCTGCAGCTCAGCAAGAAAGTACACATGACCCCCTGGCCCTGCCCTCAGAGTAAGGGACCTTCCCTGTTAAGACTTAGCAGGGTGGGAGGCAGGAGCACGAAGGAACCTCGGATGGTCCTGTGTCCATTGCAAAGTACCTGGTACTGACTCAGATGGGTCCTGAGGCTAACACTGCAGTGCCAGCAAGGATTCACTCTGCCCTCTGCAGCCCAGGTGAATGCGTACAGGTACAGGCCCTATTCCTGTTTCTCCACTGAGGATGGCGGCCTCTTCACCCATACACAGGTCTCCTGTTCCAGGTCTTGCCTGGTGGCATGCAGCTGGCCACAGGGACACAGGTGCTCTTGGCCAGCAGCCTCACGAGTGGATGAAAGGGTGCTGGGAGTGCCCTTGCAGGGCAGTACTGTGTGTTTGGGGATGTGTGCCATGGGGTGTGTGTGGAGGCCAGACAACACTAGCGGCTTCCCTCCTGCCTTTCTGTGTGCTCTGCTGCTCAGGTTGTGTGGCTCTGTGACACGAGGCAGGGCAGGCCCAGGCTGTCAGGGTGGCACAGCGGATGCCTCCACCCACTCTCTGAGACAGAAGTCAGCTCTGACTGGCAGGCTCGCACCACCACTGGCTTAGGCAGCGCAGGGTTAACCCAGGGCACTGCTCAAGCTAGTATTAAGTGATGGACGACCCCAGACCCTATTTGCTGCCATCCACCGCCAGGTCTCTCGCAGACTGGGCCAGTCGCACGTTTCAGGCAAGGAAGGCTGAGGACATGCGGTGGTTGAGCTTAAGTTAAACACCCATATGAATTTATTCAATCCAGACTGTGTTAAAGGGTGGCGTCGGGGAGCGGGGTGGTCTGGGGATGACGGACAAGATGATGGAAGACCACAGGCGTCCCACAGAGGAGCCCTGGCCCCTTCCCCGCCTGGCCCACCCTCGGCGCCATATTGGCTTCACCATGATTCCCGATGGTGCTGGGCTGGCAGGGCGAGATGTCTGCAAACACACAACAGATGGACAGACAAGACGACGGATGGTGCCTCCACATACACAGCCAGCCCTGGCCTGCCTGGCCCCACCTCACACACTGGCCCTGGCCCTAGGGGGCCTCCTGCTGCCCCGGCCTGATCTGTCCAGGAAGAGGGCAACAGGGAGGGGAGGGGTGGGGAGGGGCCAGGAAGGTGGGCGGTGGTCACCAGGAGCAGATAAGGAGGACCCAGTTGGCTAATCCTTTTTCTTGTCCTCTGCTGGCTTTGGAGGGGCTTCCTGGGGTTGGCTGGCAGTGCAGGCCCCAGGAGCAGCCTTTGGGATTGTGGAGGCATCCTCTCCAGTGACAGCCGTGCTGGGTGCAGGTGTGAGATCCCCTGCTGCGGTGGACGCCTGGGCTCTGGACGCCGCTGCTGAGACGTCCTCTCCACTCATGCCGAACTCATTCACACGGGTGGGGTCGACGCGGTAGATCCACCGTTGGTAGAGGTATATGAAGAAAACCACGTCTGGGGGAAGGCACCATGTGAGAGACGGCCCTCCCCGTCAGAGAATGAAGCTCCTCCCAGCCCACTGCATCCCTGTACCCTGTGTCCCTTGGGCCTCACCATCCCGCAGGCAGCCAATCCGATACATGACAGGCATCTTGATGACAAAGGCAAACAAGTCATCAATGAAGGTGTTGAGGGCCTTGTAGGTGAGCATTCGCCATGGTAAGTGGGCCACAGACTTGAGCTTGTAGTTGATGAAGAGCTGGGGTGTCATTGTGATGAAGCCTGTGGGGGGACAAAGGGCACCATGACCAGCCACCCTGACTCACTCTGCTCCTCCGGCACAGCCTACCCCAGGCCTTTGCATTCTCTCTCCAACAATTCTGTTTTGTTGTTTCTTAAGACAGGATGTTAGGCTATAGCTCAGGATGGCCTTGACCTCAGAGACCCTATCTCACCTTCCCAACCTCTAGAGTTCCCCTATCTTTGTGTTGTCCCTCCTGGTTACCTTTGTGGACTCTTGAGGCATCCTTTCCTAAGAGTGGTTCCTAAACCCCGCCTAAGTTCACCCTTTATTTTTCTGCCTTTGCCCCTGCTTATTACTCACAGTGAGTACTTCTCTTTGCACTTTGGGGTCCCCA